TATGGGTGAGCCACTTTTGAGCACCCCGGTATAAGGGAAAAATCAAACTTTATTTTAAAAAAAAAAAAAAAAAAAAAAAAAAAAAAAAAAAAAAAAAAAAAAAAAAAAAAAAAAAATTTTCTCTAAAAATAAATGGATATAGTTTAAAATTTTAATAAAATTTTTTTTTTTATTAAGTTAAAATAATTCTATGTTTACCTATAAGATCAAAATTCCATTGATGTAAGTTTTTCTACTCACTCATTTTTTTTTAAGCAAATAAATACCAACATGTATGTTACTTAAACACGGAATTTTTAAGTTAATTTATAGTTGTCAGTAATAAAACTGTATGCATCCATCTCAGTCGTTTAATTAGAATTTAATAACTATTATATAGACATTTAATTATGTAGGAATCATAAGAAAATAATACTGTAATGACAAAAAAGAAATTATTATGATTCGAAGGTAACATTAAAAAAGTCTCATCACCAAATAATAATGTATAATTAGTTTATTAAAACAAAATTGTCGACAGTGCCAATTTTAAAATTATTAATTAAATTCTAGTTCTTACTTCGCATCATCGTCTCCTAATCCTAATTCATACACTCTTGTAGCTCCTAATTCTTCCAATCTTTTATCTATATAAATGGCAACTTCGTTGTAATGTTCATACGTTTTATTTCCTAAACCAAAGACCTATAAATAAACAAAACATATTATGTAAATTCTATAATCTAATAAGTTCACACTGCCGTAATTAATTAAATAAATAAATAAATAAACAAATAATAAGTAAAAATATATCCTCAGATTTATCTGGAGCATTTATACCAAGGTTTTTCTATAAGTTGATTTGACAGTTACAGTGATTTTTCTCTCAAACAAAACGAAGTTTTGGTCTGTTAGTATATAACATAAAATCAAGATTCCGATTGACGCATCACTTCATTTTTTTATTACTTCCATGTTTCACCCTGAAATAGCCTGTAACTTTTGATTTTAAATGGTACCCCGATATTTTTTACTTTATTAAATAGAAAACGACATTCATAGATAAATGAAACAAGTTTAGATTGAAAGTGCCCATAAGGACAATGTAAACGCTATTTGGCGCTATTCTTTTGCAACGGTCGCGACCCAAACTTTTGTGAAAATTTCGGAGCGGTTGGGCTCTTTCCGGAATTATATCGCCAAATATTGTTTTCAAATTCTATTATTATTTTCCCTTTTAATTTTATAAATAAAATACAGTGTGTTGCATACAAGAAACTTTATTTTATATAAGGACGCATGTAAGAAATACCTATAAACATTGGAAACCGACGATATGCCACGATCCACGATGGTTCTTGCAGTTCACAGTTCACAGCACAGCTTTTTAAGTTTTAATGTCACTTTTCACAATTATCACTGGTTTGAGTAAATAAAACTTGAATTAAACTCACAAGATAGTAATACAATTACTTTGAAAATGGACGCTTGAAACACTTTTTCTGAATTTCTTTAATGAGAGTGGTTTAGATTTTGAAAAGATTATTATGATTTTTGAAGATTCTGACTTTGACAAGAGAAAATTATTTCTGTTTTTGTTTGCCGTTATTCTTAGCGACCGCTATGGCAGCGCCAGATCGCGTATAACGGTTGCGACCCAAGATAATTTCGCGACCTAAAATTTTTACGGGCTTTCCAATCTAAACTTGTTGCATTTATCTATGACGACATTCTGAATAGAGTGACATCTGACAGGTCAACTTTTGACATTTTCGCTTCAATAAAATAGTAGGTAGGTATCTTTGGTAGGTATTTTAAATTTCAATCCAGAGTGTAACAGCTGTGTTCATAACGAAAATTTGAATTGAAATACATACATACATACACATACAGCTGTTACCTGGCTGACCAGGCATTCGAATACAAAGAAGATGGTCACGGCGTTTCTTCATGAGCTTTTCTGTGACTGAAAAGCCCGATACGTGATGTTATCTATATTCCGCAATCTTCGAGCCATCTAAAAATCCATTGCTTTATTAGTTCTTTATTTTTTGGTTGCCGCTGTTAACTGAGTTTACAACCTTCTCCATTGGGTCTCCATTGTGAGCTGCTTTTTCCCACCCATTCTGCATGTTAATTCCTTTAAATTTTCATGGAAAATGTCCTTGTATCTTTCTGGTTGTCCACCCGGTCTCCTCTCACCGTCTACAAGCTCACCGTAAAGCAGAGATTTTGATATACGGTTTTCTTGCATTCTGCATACGTGACCAGACCATCTTAAGCGGGATTTTGTGACCATGACTTCAATACTTAGCTTTTTCAAGGACCGATACATTTGAGACATGATGGAACCAACGGACTCTTAAGAGTTGCCTAAGGTGTCCTCTGTTGCAACTTGTTTAATGCGTTCATGTGTCGGCGGTAAGGCACCCAGGTTTCGCTCCCATATAACATGGTGGTGGGGATTATAATTGCTCGGTATAATGCAAGTTTTGTTTTTGTACTCAAGTCATGATTGTAGAAAACCCTGTCTTTTAATTTCCAGAATGCCCTTGAGGCGCTACTAATCCTGTGCTGAATTTCAGAGTCAATATTGGCCTTTTCCGAAATCAAACTGCCAAGGTAATTGAATTCCGCCACATATTCCAATAGTTCTTCTCCGATTTTTATAGCATTGTTGTGATCTTCAACAAACAAACAACGCTTTATTGTACAAAAAGCCAAAACAGCTTCATCGATAAAGCACTCACAAACAACAAAATCACAAAAAAATACAAACAACAAAAAATACACAATACAAATAATACAATTCAAAAAAATTTAAGTCTTTAAAATTACAAAAAGAATATACATGGACAATTTTAGAACAGTACGCAGTAAATATATAACTTCCGGGGGAGTGCACATGATTTTAGTTTTGTCGATGTTTAGCTTAAGGCCCAAAGCCTCGTATGCCCAGGTATATGTGTTCAACCCAGGTATATGTGTGAATTGAAATAGTATGTGGTACGACTATCCGTAAAAAATGCTTTTTCCAAATATGCTAAAAAAGTGGCTAAAGAGCCACTATCGTTCTATTTGAAATTGAGTTATGATTAAAAATACGATTGGGCCATTTTTTAAATGGCCAGAAAATGTCACGAAAAACATTAGACGATAAAATCTATTTTCCCAATGCTACTTGATTAAAAATTAGTTTTATCACACACGTGGCACTCTGAATTGAAATTTAAAATACAATTTATTTAAGCGAAAATATCAAAAGTTGACATATATGTCATTCTATTCAGAATGCTATTTTCTATCAAATTTTTAAACGATACCGTAAATGGTACCGTTTAAAAATCTAAAGTTATAGTAATTTCCGGTGAAACAGGAAGTGACCAAAACTAACTGAATACGTCAATCAATCCTGATCTGTCATATACACACATTCACACATACCAAATCTTGTTTTTTTTTAATCTGAAAAAATTCAAAGTTACACGGGTAAAGTTTGATTTTCATGCATCTGTTATACGTTGATACATGGTTGATACGATGGTCCGACGGTGCTCTGATTGGTCATAGAGTTTTCGCGCCACTTTTCATCCGTAAATATTTTACCAAAATATTTTACTTCAGCCCGTCAACGGACCCGTTCATACGATAACGCATAGATAAATGAAACAAGTTTAGATTGGAAAGTGCCCATAAGGACAATGTAAACACTATTTGGCGCTATTCTTGCAACGGTCGCGACACAAAACTTTTGAAAATTTCGGAGCGGTTCGGCTTTTTCCGGAATTATATCGTCAAATATTGTTTATTCAAATTTACTATTATTCTCGTTTAATTTTATAAATAAAAATACAGTGTGTTGTTGCATACACAGAAACTTTATTTTTATATGGACGCATGTATGAAATACCTATAGGAAATATTAGAAACCGACGTTATGCCACGATCCACGATGGTTTTGCAGTTCACAGTTCTCAGCACAGCTTTTAAGTTTTTTAATGCCACTTTTCACAATTATCACCGGTTGAGAGTAAATAAAGCTTGAATTAAACTCACAAGATAGCAATAATTACTTTGAAAATGGACGCTATAAACACTTTTCGGAATTTCTTTAATGAGCGGTTTAGATTCTGAAAAAATTAAAAGTTACAAGATTAAAGCTTGACAAAAGAATGCATCCGTTATTGTTGATACGTGGTTAATAGCGATGGTCCGACAGCGCTCTGATCGGTCATAGAGTTTTCGCGCCAATTTTCATCCGTAAATATTTACTTCAGCCCGTCAACGGACCCGTTCATACGATAACCATAACGATAACGGACGTTTTGACACTTTATTGACAAATTTAATCTAACCTTAATAAAAATATAAGTAAAATAGCAAAATCGTTATGGAAACGAAAATATAAAATAACACCAACGTATATCCGATAAACGGAAGCATGAAAATGCAATAAATTTAACACCTGCGTTATTTTTCTAACCAATCAAAGTCTTTAAATTCTACCGATAAAATTAATATCGTATCAACGTATCGTCGGACAACGGATGCATGAAAATCAAGTTTAAGCCACTTTTGAAAGACACCCAGTATACAGGAGGTTTATCTGAAAAACGTATTATAGTAGTATAGCAGTATGACACTTAATCATCAGTTAAAGAAAACGTACCGTTGAGAGTAGTAATTTTCCATTTCCTATTATAAATTATAAGACTGTAAATAAGACTTATTGCATTATTATTAACTTAAATATTATCTAACATAAAACATCTAAATACTTAAGGATGAAGAGATCAGGTAGGTACCGTTATTTATTTATATACTATTTAGGTACCTATTCAAAACAAATATAATTTAAATCAAACGTCTACTACAGATATAAAGCATATGTAAAATAGTTGTTATTCAAGGATAGCAAATACGTCGTCTCATGCTAGCTTGTTGTTTTAAGTGTAGAATAACATTGTTTGCAACAATCATGAACCCCTCTAGTTTCGTTCGCCAATCACACGAACTGCGCATGATGCAATTTATTTTGATCATTTAAATTTCGTCTAATTTAAATTGCGAATGAAAACGGACAAAAGAATTTAAGAACATGATAATAAAATAGGATGAGATTTGAATATATAAAAAATAATGAATCATACTAGTCTATTCACTCACAATGAGACATCAAATTAAATTTGAGACGAGATAATAACAAAAAGTAAATTGTCATCACTGCATGGGAGAAAATAAATCCTCAAAATATATATAATAAATGATCATATGTTACTTCGTTGATTACTTCTATGTTTAGATAACTTATCAGATCACATTGTTTTAAATTCCATATATTAAAATAATGAACACTTATAATAAAATAATAATAGAAACACTAAGCTAAATTTAAGCTATGCAGTGTACAGGACAGGGTATTTCAAAAAAAGTTATATACAACATTTTTAATGGAACACCTAGATATTAAGTAGTTTTTAGATTCTAGGAAGAAAATTAATGTTTGGTTCATTTTGTTCACATTATTGATAAAGAAGTTCATATCAATAATATAGTTTTTTCTACATTTTTTACATTTCCGAAAATGATAGACAAATTTGAAATGTGAATAAAAATATACAATATGATCGAAAAAACGGCGTCAGCGATGGCTATGAAATGAAGATCGCTGTCATTTATTTGTAAAATTATATGGAGAATGTCATAGATCGTCATTTCAAAGCGATCATCCGGTATAACATGCTATAGGTTAAAATAACAATTATACGATAAATTAAATTTGAATATGACATGAAAAGTTATACAGAGTGAGAAAATATTGATATTGAACAATCGTCATCGTTATTGAAACAAGCATTAAAAACGAGGCAGCCAATATATTATTTATTAATTTTATTAGACATTCTATGCAGAAATCATGTCTGTTCAAAATACTATCTAGATTGCTTACCTCTCAGACAAATACTTTTTCTAGTTATTTTCACTTTTGTTATTTAATATCATAAGATATTTTTACTAATATTTGGAAGTGGCTGTATTATGATAGTGATATTAGTTTAACAAAAAATGAGAAATATGTATAGAGAATCCTTAATATTTTGAACGGACATGATCACTGCGTTGAAAACCGAAATAATATACTAGGGTATTTAAAATATAGAGTAACTTGCCCCATTAGCCCCTATAGTTGACCAGTGTTGCAATATCAATTTTGTCTCACTGTGTATAACTTTTATTGTCAAATTTAAATTTGATTTATCATACAATGGTTACTTTAACCTGTAAGGGTAAACTGTAATTTAGGTAGCTTATTCAAATTTAACATTGGTTTGTTGTTAATTTTTCAAAAATAATAAATATTAGCGATGGGAACTATCGAATGAAATAGGCTATCGAATGGTTAATGAATGAATGATTCTATCAAATGTGTGTGTGGTTTTATTCCAATAAAATCATTTATTCATTTGTATACTAAAGCAGTGACAACTAAATATGTCAAAAAACCTTACATTTTTCGATATAAACTTCTTTAATAAATCCTCATTTATTTTTATCTAAAATCCAAAATTATAATTAAGATATGGGGTATTCAATTAAAAAAAACACAACTTTATTTAATTTTGTGGACATCCTGTAGAACTCAATAATGTGTAAATACATATATACCAAAATGAACATTCACCAAAAGTATGAGAGGTGTGAGAGGTTTCATCCTGTATATTATCTGAAATCTGCTTAAAGCCCGAAAACTTGACCTTGACAAACAATAAATTTAATCTTCGAAAATTTTATAATAGCTGCTCTCCAGTAACCTTTCAAATTGCCGTAAGTATATATACCAGGTGCGTCTCAAAAGTGGCTCATCCCCATAACTTTTGTATTTTATCAGATAAAAAAGCTTGATTTGGTATGTTAGTATATGACATAAATTAGAATTGATTGACGTATTCAATTCTTTTCGGCCACTTCCTGTTCTACCGGAAATGACTACAACTTTTGATTTTTAAATGGCACCCTCGGTATTTTTTTACTTTATTCGATAGAAAATGACATTCTGAATAGAATGCCATATGACATTTTGCTTAAAAACAAAATTGTATTTTAAATTTCAATCTAGAGTGCCATGACTGTGTTAAAAACACTAATTTTTAATCAAAGGAGCCTTGGAAAAATATATTTGATCGTCTAATGTTATTCGTGTCTTGTCCTGGCAGGGTTAAAAAGATGCCCATATCGTATTTTTAATCATATCTCAATTTTTCAAATGGAACGAGAAGTGGCTCATTAGCATATTTGGAAAAAGCATTTTTACGAATAATTTGGTAGAACACACTTAGTACTTCGAGTAAAATTGTCGTTTTGAATCGCGTGTTGCAATTTCAAATAAACCGTATTCGAAAATGTGAAAAGTTGACACATAATATGTCATTCTATTCAGAGTGTCATTTTCTATCGAATAAAGCAACAAAACACCGAGGGTGCTATTTTTATCTGATAAAGAAAAAAAAGTTATAGGGGTGAGCCACTTTTGAGACGCACCCGGTATACTATGTTTAAAATTTCAAGTATTAATTTTATTAATTAATACTTGTACCGAGATATTTCAGCACAGCTGCCACATTTTGTTGCTTTAAGTAATGTTAAGAGAGAAAGCCCCTGCGATTATCTTATAATTTACACATCAGTTTACATAATATATCATTTATGTGAGAGAAAAGCAGTATATTATAATTATAAAATATACCGCCGCGCAGGTCATAAATTCGTTAAATTAACCTTACCGGTATATTCCATAACATACAATCAACTTTGAATGAGTATTAAGACATTCTTTCACCAGAAATACTATAGTTCATACACATTCCGATTCATTAATGTACCTGGTGTTTCTCAAAAGTGGATCACCCCTATAACTTATTTATGATGGAAATAAGACATTCTGAATAAATAGAATGTAATGCTATACGTGTCATTAGCATATCTAGAAAAAAGTATTTTTGTACAAATAATCTCAATTTTTTTATCTGAAAAAATAAAACAGTTATAGGAGTGAGGCATTTTTTTTACAATACATCAGGTTAATATTTGTATACAAAAATTATATTAACTTACCGCATAATTTAAGCCAGTTAAGTCTGCATCTCCATTTTGTAACCATTCATAAAATTCCATTTGCATTATCAGTTGGATCGCCTTCACCGTAAGTGGCCATACAGAAAACAGCCAAAGAATTGGGAATATTCTTAAGATTAACCAAATCTTCCTGAAATAAATTAAAACATTCTTGATTAAATCTTAGTTTAAAGAGCTATAAAAAAATAGTCATGTATACTTTCATCATATTTGCTGCATTAAAAAAACTCTTTAGAGTTTTTCAAATAACTAAACTAATTTTCTAAAATAGCTCAATTACTTTACTTTGAAAACTTAAAAAAAACTATTTTTCTCTTTGAATTTCCTTGATATAATCTATTACCTATGTAGTCATACTACGAAGATTATTTTCTGAAAAATAAAATAAAAACAAAATTTATTTTTACCGGGATCGAAATATACCACCTTTAAAAATATGAACACTTATTTAAGGCTCACCCTCTATACATAATAAAGGATTATTTGTAAACAATACTTTATTAGTTCATTGTAAATTGTTAAAATTATATCTCTTATCAATACAAAAACAACCATAAAACCATCTAATTAACTGAATGTTTTGTTTGTCTTTTAACAACTTTATCTGGTGAACGAACTAAAAAAGCATGAGCTATAGTTGCTCGACTATTTGACATAATAGTCTGCGACAATAATCCCGAGATGTGTTTACACAGAACTGCAAAACAATTGCATAATTCCTGATTAGCTGCTGTTTCACACATATACGCTAATGAGTTGTCATTATTTATGCTTCAATCGTCTATGATTTCTTTATTGGAATACTCTCTAATAGACGAACACGAAGATAATCTTCCTATCGCAGTCTCAACATCACAACAGATTACGCAAATGAAGTGACCAGGAACCACCACAGGGTCTGTATTTTAATGCATGCGACAGAGATAAATATAAATGACCGGTTGACTGACAGAGAGACAAAATAAAAGCGGCAACACATGGCATACAGTATTGCTGGGTTTTACGTGTGTAGGAAAAATAAGCCTATTTTAAAAAAACATTCATGTATACTACTGAAATGAAGATTACAGCTGTAGTAAAATGAGTAACTAATTGTGAAAAATCAAGTTCCAACCCTAGATGCAACATTTTTCGTAAACGCCTACGGTTTGTGTGGTTTGAAATTTTGATGCAAAATCCGGCAATACCGCATAGATGAAATGTATCAACCCAACTTTTATCTCTTTTAATACGTTTAATTTTCCATTAAGCTGTCTACATCACTGTCATACACGTTAAAATCCAGAACACGCAGTTTCGATGACCAGATCGGTATATCTAACCCAGAGAACCTCAAAAGTTTTTGTTTTTGATTCGCCGGCATTTTCAACCAAAAAGCAACCGGTTATTTAGCCTTCATAGTTAATAACCTAATAACCTTGCATTACGTTCAATAACCTATAGCCGGTTTATTTTTAAAAATCGTACTTGTTTAAAACAAGTAACAATTAAAATATTAGCTGTTTGAATCGTAAATTTCGAAGAAGCGAACGGCACGGATCTTCCAGATATTACGACGATAACAGGAGATCCCGCTCCCCGCTCCCAAAACGAAAATATATGACATCAAACATCAAATGTCAAAAATTAAATCAGGCATCAGGCGAACCAGTGAGTAATAATCAAAACAACGGCCGAATGGCCCTAACTGAATCAGGCCGTAAAACAAAGTACCTACGTGGCATAAAGAATGGCATAGACTACTACTAGCCACCAAGCCCTAGCCAAGTGTAATGGAACCCTAACTTCAAATAGATTCTCTAAATTCTATATTTAAATTTTAACCGACTTTAACGGATTTTCAAGCGGTTCTTCAAAAGTTTTTCCATGGTTTCGCCCAGTTTCACCCACGTTTCACCGTAAATATATTTTATTTGTAGTTTGAAGTCTCTTGAAGCTTAGACTAAAGAATACAAAATTGAAGTTCAAGTAATGAATGAAGGTAATCTTTCATTATCTGTTCATTCAGTCTCCTTATTTTTCTTTGGTATTTGATTAAAAATAACTTGGTTGTAGATTGTAGAACTTGTGAGTTGTGTGGTTTATTTGAACGTTAAGTAATTACTAGTTTTAATATCATATCCATGTCTACTCAAAAAAGTGAGGGTTAGCATTTTATTTAAAATTCATTTTGTACATATACATACCCACATCGCTACAATCTTTTTTGTTTAATCATGCACGATTTAACTAAGTTTATTATCTAAATTTGAAGTAGACCTATGGAGTGTAGAGGTAAGTAAACCTATAGGAAAACTAAATATTTAGTTTTGCTAGGTTAGGTTATTTGAATAACCGGTTAATTTGTGTCGGTTAATTTTGTCAAGTTATTATTTTTTAAAGATAATTCCGGTTAACCTATAACCGGTTTTTTACCAATAACCGCCCATTTCTAATCTAACCCAGCTCTAACCTCAAAATTTTTGTTACTGATTCGCCGCAGTTCAACCAAAAAGCAACCGGATATAATATAGCCTTCATAGTTAATACAAGGTGTCCCAGTATTCCGTGGACATAGAACTACTACGTATTTTTGGAACGGTAAATTAGTTGGGCACAATTTACCTCTATACACAAAATAAACCAAACGATAATTTAAAATTTATGAAGCTTATTGTCAAAAATAATTTGTAACAATGACATAACATCCCGCATTTGTTTCAATGAGTATATTATCGCCTACTTGATTTTAATGCTTGATTTGACCAGATATACTATATTTAGTAGTCAGCTACGGATTTTTTTTTCTCAAAAACTATGCGAGCTGGCATTTATTTACAGAGTACAATAAATATAGCAAATACTAGAAGAACTTTTTATCAAAAAAGAAGTCAGTTATCGTTGAGGTGCAAAACATTTCTGCTAGAATTTATGTAGGAATGAGGGTAGTTTTCGCCTTTCTCGTAACATTTCTAGTTATTTTGTGAAAATCGAATGTTAAAGCGCTTCCAAATCTCATTCAAATCGGAATATCAGTTTTTAAAATATCTTAAAAAATGTGTTAATATTTTTTTAAAAATTTTATGCCCTCTGAACTGACAATCGAAGCACATTTGTATAGAAGTAAATTGTGTTCAATAACTTATTTTGATTCCAAAAATACGTAGCAGTTGTATATTTGTACAGGGTGGGTCAAATTCGACGCTTTTAAATGGAAACACCCTTTTTTATAGGAGATAGACGAAAACTAATATCGGTGTCTGGAGCTCAATTTTCATCAAAAACATAATGGTGAAAACCGCACATCAATATCTGTTACCGTTTCGGAGTTACGGGGTGTTTTTCAAAAATGTGCATTTTTAACAAATCGCTGTAACTTTTTTACTATGGAAAATTTTGTATTTCTATGAACATTTCCAAAGCGCCTTTTTACGTAGAATTTAATGGTTCAAGTATATTTTTTTTTAAATTAATAATTTAAGAGTTATCAACAGAAAAATTGATTTTTTATTTGGGACACCCTCTATATTTTTAATTAACTGAAAAGAATTTAAAATTAACTTTCCAAAAATATAGCATACTTGATATTTTGTTATAATTCCCTTCGAAATACAGAATTTTTAAAAGTTCGCCACTTTTAACTAATAGGCTTTGGACCCCTTATTGATGATATGCCCTTAATGGAACTCGAAAACATATTTTTCCAGCAAGAAGACGCACCGCCTCTGAACGCTGAAGTTATCAGCAAATTTTTGTAGCCAATTTCAAGAATAATTGAATAGCTAACCAAAATCCCAGCCGTTGGCCGTCGAGGCCGTCTGACTTAGTGCCCATGGATCTAATCCTATGGATATATTTGCCGAAGAATAAAGGTTCCTTATTCTTCCGTATAATCTAGACAAGAATTAGAAATACTTAGCAGTTATGAGAGGGTATCTTTCACCCCCACTGAGTTAATGAATACCGCGAGAAATGTTCAAAAACTGCCCCGTCTGTAAATAACAGTAGAAAGTAGTGTCGAACCGTAACCACCGTAATAACAAGGCCGGACAGCTCTGACGTAAAAATCTAGTGACGTCACCAACTGGAGGCCCAAGCAGCGTTGATAATTACGCGATAAAAGTTCAAATTGTGGATCTTTTTTTACTCGCCAGATATATTTCGAAGTTTTAAAATGTCTTTTCCGAGTTTTTAAAAATATTCTAATATATAAAAATAGTTTTAATAGAATACGGAAAAAATCATACCAGTCAATAAATGTTTATCTCTCACTTTTTATCAATCAAATTTAATAGAGGAATATTTTAAGTTCACAATAGTGTATAATATGAGAAAAAAACAATAAAAAAATAGATATTTTTTATAGTATATATTATGTATTTTATCGATATTTCACGCCCCCTGCTCCGAGGCGACAGCGCGGCGCGGCGCGGCCTCGTGTGGCGGCGCCTGTCGTAGCGCGTAGCGGAGTGGTATTGCCGCAGTCCGCAGTTGACAGTCATCGATTTATCGGAAGGTGTGCGGACGTGGTAATTATAATCGATAATAGAAGGGTGAAAAAAGTTGTAAATCTATAAAAAGAGGTGTTTAAACTATAAACTGATTATAAGTGTGTGCAATTATACAATTTAAAAGGTATAATGTCTAAATAATAAGATGTGAATATTATATTTAAAGCTATATTTCTTCTGTTTTCTCAAATATATTTATATGTATTTTCTAAAGCTTTTACTAATCTTTTACCTCACCTCAAACCTTTCATATTTGAAAGTTAAATAAACTACACCCTCTACATCGATTAACTACATGTAATGTACTTTATGTAGTTTTTAAGAGTAACATGTAGTTTTCCGAACCCTGATAGTAACACTGATCAAATTATTAGTCATGCTTTTATCTGTGTTCAATATTAAAGTTATTAACTTGAGTTGAGTAACAGGTTGAGCTTGAAGTAATAAAATAATGTTTTAATGAGTAAAATATGAGGTATATTTTACTAGAATAATTTAAAACTATTCAAGAAAGTACACACAAAACAAGGCAACGCCGCGCGTCTATTCGTTC